CATCACCACCACCACCACCACCACCACCACCATCATCACCATCATCATCACCACCACCACCATCACCACCACCACCACCATCACCACCACCACCACCACCATCATCACCATCATCATCACCACCACCACCACCATCACCACCACCACCATCACCACCACCACCACCACCATCATCACCATCATCATCACCACCACCACCACCACCACCATCACCACCACCACCACCATCACCACCACCATCATCATCATCCCCCCACGGGAGGAGTCACCATAAAGAAGCCCGCACTGGCGCAGGCGTGTCCAAACCGCCCTCCCCACCAACCTCCCCCCCCCACCCCACCACTGAGCACAAACACAAACCCCCGCACAGACATACATACCCGATACCCACCCACCTGAATGAAATCCCCCCGGGGATTCTTCCTGCCGCCCTTCTCCGGCACATTCACCACAGTGCCCTGCGAGGGGGGGGAAGGAGGGAAGGGGGGAAAAGGAAGGACCACGTGAGCGAGTGGAGCTGCTGCCAAGGGGGGAAAGGAAAGAGTGCTGCAGTGCGGCAGATGTACAGGCTCAGGAAGCAGAACTGACACCAGCTGGCGGGGTAGTGAAGAATCAGTCCTCGGGGGAAGGAGGAGAAGAAAAAGAAGAAGGAGAAGAAGGGAAAACACATGTTTACATACATACGCACACATATGCACACATATGCGCACATACACACACATATATATATGCACAAGATTTACATATATATACATACATACATACATCCCCGCCCTCACCTCCAGCATCTTCAGCAGCGCCTGCTGCACCCCCTCCCCGCTGACGTCCCGTGTGATGGTGAACCCCTCCGCGGACCGCTTGGCGATCTTGTCTATCTCGTCGATGTACACGATGCCCTGCTGGGCCACCTCAACGTTGAAGTTGCAGGCCTGCGTGCGTGCGTGTGTATGTATGTGTGTGTATGTGTATGTGTATGTGTGTGTATGTGTGGGGGGGGGAGGGAGGGTAATCATATGCGGGAAACTCAGATATAAACTCAGATATGATAAACTGCTGGCGTCCAAAGGGGGGTGAGGTGCGACTGCGGGGTATGCCTGCGGGGTGACGCAGGTCTCCAAGAGGTGTCATCGAGGGGAGGTGGTGTGAGGAGGGGGAGGGGGGTACGAGGTGTGAGGGGGGGGGGGAAGACGAACCACACGCGATTGAAGCTGCTGCCAGGGCAAGATAGTAGCAACCGAAAGAACTGACCGAAAGGCGTCCGTGGCGACTGTGACGACTGTAACCTCGGGATGACGACTGTAACCTCGGGACGAAGAATTGACGTAGATGTAGGAAGTCCTACCTACCTAAGCCGCCAGAAATATTATAGCCAAACCGTAAACTAGTAGGTGTAGAAAAAGTAGTGAAGGCGGCGAGAAAAAATGCGGCGAAAAAATGCTGACGTAAAAGAGGCGTAAAGTTGCTGGCCAGGAAAGAAAGCTGCATTGCTGATACTGAAAGGCTGCCGGTATGCAAGTGTTCCTCCCAACCCCCCAAAAAAACTAGAACGCGCGACTGACCCGACCGACCCAAACTAAACTATTCCGGCTAGCCTACCGACACCAACGCGAAATACCAAAGAAGCTCGATCCACCTTTTGGACTCACCTGGCCAGGCAGCAGGAGCAGCGGGTAAAGGCACATGCAAGGCAGAGAGGTTGGGGAATTTGTGAGCAGCGAAAGAAAAGGAGGGGGAGGAGGGGGAGGGGGAGGGGGAGGTGCTGCAAGGAACCGTAATCCCACAAATCCCTCGGCACCCCCCCCGGGCCGCGACACCCTCACTTCGCGGCCAACCGCCCCTACCTACTCCACCAGGCCCCCCCCACCTGCCCCCCCCACCAACCCCCGCACCTGCAGCAACTTGTACAAAATGGACTCCACATCGTCTCCGACATAGCCCGCCTGGTGGGGGAGGGGAGGGGAGGGGGAGGGGGGGAGACGAACCACCAGGGAGTGAAGCTGATACCCGTGTTGGGTGGTGGTGGTGAAGGAGCAGTAGCAACAGCAGTAGCAACAACAACAGCAGTAGCAACAACAACAGCAGTAGCAATAACAACAGCAGTAGCAACAACAACAGCAGTAGCAACAACAACAGCAGCAGCAACAACAACAGCAGTAGCAACAACAACAGCAGTAGCAATAACAACAGCAGTAGCAATAACAACAGCAGTAGCAATAACAACAGCAGTAGCAACAACAACAGCAGTAGCAATAACAACAGCAGTAGCAATAACAACAGCAGTAGCAATAACAACAGCAGTAGCAACAACAACAGCAGTAGCAATAACAACAGCAGTAGCAATAACAACAGCAGTAGCAGCATAACGATGATCCCTCCCCCCTTCCCTCCCTCCCCCC